ACTGCCGTGACACTTTGCAATGAGCCCTCCTCGTGCCGACGGGCGGATTGCCTTCTTACCAAAGTAATCGGCCTTTGGCCGAGCATCCATCTCCTGCTCCAGGCGCTGGGTCAGCGCCTCCAGCTTCAGCTCAGCCGCCGATGGCCCTTGCTCTGGCTGTGGAAGGAGGGTCTGGCAGGGCAGCTTCACCTTTGCTGTGCTGGAGCCATCCAGGTGCCCAGAGTCTGACCGTGGCCCGCTCACGCCCTCCGGGAAAAGCATCTGCGGCGCATTGGGAGCCACCATCCCTCGCGAGGCCAGGCGCGAGGAGCCCGGCTCAGGGTTCCCGCTGCTGCCGGCGGGCCTGTGGGTCTGACCGTGGGCCACGAAGTGACTGGCTGGGCTGGGGTAGGCAGCGGCGTGCTGGTATTCCACGCTGGGAGCAGCAGGTGCGGAGCCTGGCGGGAAGGAGAGCGAGACACCCTGGTACCACGGCTGGCTGCCATCTCCTCCGGCTTTGGGACCGCAGGGCTCAGCGGAGCCTGAAAACCCTCGAGTGGGCTGCGCTGAGGGTGCCGAGAAGGATGAGCACCTCTGCTGTGGCGGGGGCTCCTCCTGCCCCACCGAGGGGGTCCCGGCGTTTGAGAAGGAGGAGGACCTCTGTCCGGCTGGCACCGGGTCACGGCCCCCGACACCTCGCCTGCCCTCGCCGCCGTTCTCCTGCCCGCCGCGGCAGGGCTGGGGGTCGCCGGGGCTCCCAGCCTGCTGCTCCCCGCGCCCCGCGCCAGGCTGTGAGCCCCCAACTCGAGGGATCCTGTCGGGCTCCGCTTCCCAGCCCCGGCGCCCGGCCTGGCTCCCTGCGGCCTCGGCACGTGTGCCGCTCTCTCCGAAGCCCCGCTCGCCTCCCTCGCAGGGCCTCGCTCGCGGCCCCTCGGCGGCGGGGGGCGGCTTCGAACCCCGCGCCACCGGCGGGCTGGGACGGGGGGGCTGGAAGGCGGCAGCCCCTCCGTTCATCGCGGCCATCAGCATCTCCTCCTGCTGCTGCTGCTGCTGCTGCTGCTGGAGGTGGATCTTGGCCATCTTGGTGGCGAACACCCGCCTGGTCTCCTCGAACTCGGGGTTGTTGCCGGCAGCTTTGTCCACCCGAAAGAGACCGTCCTTGGAGGCCTCGTACATGTTGAGGTCCTCGATGAACTTGCTGGCTTCCAGACCCAGATCGTCGTACTTGTCCATCCTGCCCGGCTTAGCGGGAAGACCCCCGCCTTCTTCTTTTTCTTCTTGTTCCTCCTCCTCCTCCTCTCCTCCTTCCCGCCGGGATCAAGGCAACGCCGGCAGCGGCAGCCGCTCCGTCCCGCCGCGCTCCCGCCGCGCCCGTCCCCGCCGGGGGCGTGGCCGCGGGCGCGGGAAGGGGGCGTGGCCGCCGTGAGCACGCCCTGACCGTCCCCACTGACCGCGCCCTAAGCCACGCCCACCCTCTCCGCGCGCGCTGCTCGCCCCCGCTCCGTGGCGGGGGCGCGCGCGGTCTGTCCCCAAGGGTCGCGTGCGGTTGCGGAGATGTCCCGCGGCGTCCGGACCGGCTCGGGAAGGGCTCGGGTCAGGCAGCGGAGCTGGGAAGGGCGTGCGCACGGTGGTTAAAGTCACCCGGGTGATGCAAGGAAGGTGCTTTTGCCTCGTCTCCCCCCTGGATAATATTCCTCTTTTTCACCCTGCAGCCTGGAAACCTTCCTGAAGAAGCCTTGTGAAAAATCACAGACGCCCGTCGGGGAAGAAAAAAAAAATGCAGCCCTACTCCCCCATGAAAAACTGCGAGGAAAATCTCATTCCATAAGTATTGGAGCCATTAGTCTGTAGAGTAGGAAATTGTATGAATTTTCTTGGTGTAGATAGACATTCTGTGCTGGATAGTCACGCATAAGTAAGCATGGCTAAAGAACTCCTTGTCTGAAGAATAAAGGATACCTCTGGATGCCCAAGATAATATCAGCATCCCAGCCTTCTGAAACCTTTGAAACCCCCCACCCTGTTATCCAGCATCATACATGTAACTGCAGCAAGACCAACTCCAGAGACATTTAGATGAGGAAAGAAGCAGATGGGTCATGACATCATAAAATTATTGTTGCTTTGTGATTTGGTAGCATATGTGTTTTGCATAGGGACTGTGTGAATCATGTTCCCAAATGCTTAGAAGGTCTAGGAGCTGTGTGCAAAGCTGCATTTGGGGTGCCCCGATGTGATCGGGACACTTCATGCCCACGATTAAAGACTTACCCATGTGAATCCACACTTTACATCCCAGTCTCCCTCCTCTGCCAGCCTGGGCCAGTTGCAAAATTTTCACAGCAAAACACAGCCTGGGGCTGCCCAGAGGTTGGGGGGCTGCAGTGGGAGCTCTGCCGGGCTCATGGGAGAGGCTGGTTGGTAAGGGAGCTGTGGTACCTCTCAGTAAACTTACTGGTGCAGTTGATCCTACGGGCCCAGGCACGTGTCTGGCATTCCCATGACTTGTTATTGTAATTCTCCCCCAGGCTCCAGGAGAGAGGGCCAAATGTTAAGGAATGTGGAAATTCTCTGCCATTAATAATAGTGAATTGGGCTGTGACCAAAACATGCCAGAAATAAAAAAAAAAAAATCCCCTCCTCTTTTGACCCATTCCCTTACAAAAACACTCCTGAGCAACTGAGGCCAGACCTAAAATATCCTGCCTCTTCCTGTGAGATTTGGCCCAATGTGCTTAAAAATGATGGCACTGTGAGCCCCTTCAAAAGGTGCCTTGTCTTCTTTCAAGGCAACCTTGGAAATGCTGTGGCGTCTCCGAAGAGGCTCCGAGCAGGACTGAGAGGTTGGAGGCTTGTCCCTGCAGCAGCTGATAAATGATGAACTCTGGACTCACAAAAGTTAGCCCAGCCATAGCACAGCTTTAGATAAGGGGGTTTATGGTTTCTAGGGAAGACAGGTGGATGGGAATCCCAGCACAGGGCAAAGCACAGCTCCCCCAGTCCTCAGGATCTGGAGAAGTGGCACCCCAGCACATATTGCTACTAACCATGGCCTGCCACTTTTTAAAGAGATTCATAATGCTGGAGCTTTTCACAGTATCAGGGAAACATCCCAACTCTCAGGCAATCCCATCTATCAAACCTTTCCAAGCCCTCCTCTGCTGTGGGGATGAGGGAAGGAGGGGTCTCACAACTTTCTCAGGCTGATCCCCACAAGACCTGTTTCACTTTGAGAGAAGCTGGGTCCCTGGGGGCTAAACCCCACTTTGCACAAGCCCCACAAGTTCAGGAGGAGAGTTTAGCCATCTGGATGTCCATCATGCAAAGACCACAAACCCCTGCCCATGCTAGGGCTCTTTTGGCTGGAGTGGAAGGGGTTTGCCTCCCATTTTTGTGGCTGGGAGAGGCCACAGTGGCCCCCACCAGCTGCTTCATGCCAGGCAGGTGTAGGCTCAGGCCACCAGTTACCAAGAGCAAGAGTGACTACCTCTTTTGTGGGTCTTGGCCAAAACTGTCAAGTTTGAGGTAAAGCTCAGCTGGGGCAATGAAAGCCAAAACAGTTTCAGTGTCTAAAGAGCATCCTCAGAAAGGTCTCCTGGAAGTCTGTTTTTGGCAACACTCTGGGCTGACCAGGAGAACCACGGCAAGTGATTGAGGCATGGGACGCCTCCTCCTCATTGCTGCCTTCAGGATGCTTTTGGACATGGGCTTAGCTGAGATGCTTAGCTTTCAGTATGACCACTTTTATCTAAAATGGGCAAGCTTCAATGTTAAAACAATAAGTAACAACAAAGTTGGTACTGAAGCACATATTGAGTTCATATTTGTATGGAGAATGACAGAAAGGAAACAGAGCATCAGGTAGATAAGGATGGGAGCGTGAGCCCCAGCACTGCTTTACTCGCTGGAGGAATATGCAACGTGGACAAAGAGCACTTGGAAAGGAAATTACACATCATGCACCTTCTTGCCTCCTTCTCCCCAAAGGATGTGAAGTTAATCAGGGGAGGTCATGTTCCTATCCAGCACATCAGAGATTCAGACTTGTGTCTACTGGAGTTTTTTTTATTCCAACACACTGAGATGAGGCTCTTCCATCCCTCTAAAAAACAGTCTGTTTGGTGGAGCAGAAGGATTTGGGAGTAGATGTCTCTATTTTCAGCTTTCAACACACAAACCAAGGAAGAATCTAACTTCCATCAGATCACGTATTTTTTTGTCTTTCTTTTTTAGGTCACGCATACATTTTCTGCCATTACTTTTTATCTAACATCTGTAAGTCCTTTTACAGTCTGACCTGCAGGAGCTCACCACTTTGCAGAGGGAAGGAGTGGGGGGAAGCAGTCTTCTTGCCAAATGGCCGCTCTGGATGCTGCTGACCTTCACCAGCTATGTAAAGTACATTTCCTTCCTATGCCAGAGGATCAAATCAGCTGTCTGCAGAACAATGCTTACGCGGACGACGTGGAAAAGGCCGCTGAAGCCCTTTGGATAGGGAACCCCTCGCACTGGGCTTGGCCTCCTTCCAGGCTCCGCATGCATGAGCAGACACTTTGATGGCAAGCGCCTTCGAGGGGGGATCACCGCCAAGCCATTCAAAGGCATTTTGGAGTTGAATTTGCAATGGTTTCAGCGAACATTAGGCAGCAAAATACCTTTGAAGTTTCCTGCTCGGATTTATTCTTTCTGTGAGATTTGGGCTAGAGGTATTCCCAAGTGAGCAGATGATTAATTTGAACTTTCTACTAGACTGGAGATGTAATACTACACTGACTTGCAGACCCTTCTGCTATGATTAGATATGGTCCCACATGTTTACAGTTCCTGTGACTTTTACAGCCCATGCCTGTTAAGAAATTAATGGGTCCACGATTGCTGTTGTAGCACAGGACCAAAATCTATGTGCCAATTGGAATTAACTTATGCTAAACCCTACCCCTTGAAGAGAAAAAAAAAAAAAAACCCAAAACCCAAAACATTGCTCATTTCATCTGTTTTTGTTCCTGTGGGCAAGGCTTACACACTGCATTTATTAATGCAAAATAATGCTGACAGCTTGTAACTCAGTCCCGCTCCACGTGGCAGTCTCAGCTGCCTGTGGGGTGGAGGGAGGCAGTGGTCTGGGGAGAGGCAGCCCCCAGTGGTGTTCCCAGCTTTTGGCTCCACCTCAGTGGGAGTGCTGGGCACACCAGCGCAGCCTTGTGCAGGGGCAGCAGGGCGCTCCAGGGCCGGCAGGCCGGGGCACAGCTCTGCCTGCCTGGGTAAACAGGGAAGTCGCCAATAAGAGCAGGAAGGGGATCATCTGTCCTTGTTTCTCGCTGCCACGTTGGTGTCTGGGCTCACATTGCAGAGAGATGGAGAAAATGTGAAGAAATTCTCCACCACAAGTTCACAAGTTTCTTTCCCCTGCCCTCCCCCCGCCCCGATCTTTTTTCTATCTGGGAGAAAACGCCCTCATATTTTAAAGCATGACAACAGCCCGCGGCTGTATAGTTTATGGAAAAACATGATTAGGAGGAGTCTGGGTGCCAATTTATAGCCGGATCTCTCTCCAGAAGCAACTATTGCATGCTCACACTACTTATTTGCAACCAAACGAGTGTGAGGAACCAGTGGCTGGCAGCACACCAGGTTGTTTGTGGACATGTCCAGGGCTGGTCCCCAGTACCTGTGTCTCTCCAGGGCCGTAGCTGTCCCAGGCAGGTCATTTCCCACAGGACTACGCACACCGCTCTGCAGGGCCTGAGATACGTGCTCTGGTGTGTTTTAGCAAGAAGGTAATAAAGGCTTCAGTGCTAGAGTATAAACAGAGTGAGTCATTTATAAGGCAGAAGTATTTCCAGGATAGAGCCTGGCGTGGTTCTTGCAGGAGCAAATGTGCTTCTCAGCTTCTTGCAAGGCAGTGCCACGGCATCTGTGAACTCCTGACTGAATAGCAGGGGGAAATTATGGACTTTCCTTGCAGCTTTCTAATAGAGATTTTCATTAAATGTGCCATTTATCTGCACCTGCCAGATGCTTTATACTAGGAAGATGATGCACAGCACTGTTGGGCAAATAAGAGGGTGGAGGAGGAGGAGGAGGGAGGGATGAAGCAAGGTGACTGCAGAGGTGAGCCCGGGGGCTGCTGTGGGTGGGAGGGTTAGGCTTAAGCCAGGTGCCAGACTGCTGGATGGGGCGCTGCGGAGGTGGGGAGGCCAAACCTCAGCCTCTGCCTTCCCGAAGGTTTTCAGGAAGGCGGCAGGGCAGGGCAGGGCAGGGACGTGCTGTTCCTCCTCACGGCTGCCCCAGGGGCCCCTGCATTCCTCCAGGAGGCCTGTCCTGCCTGCAGCCGGCTCTGCCAGCCCTGCCTGCAGCCTGCCTTGCCTGCTGCCTGCACACTGAACCCCCAAGCTGCAGGGGCAGCCTGGGCACTGGAGGCAGCCCTGGTGCCCACCATGCAGCCTGGGTGGGTGCGACCCATGCCCTTGGGATCAGGGCAGAAATGGATCCAGACATTTCTGCTGGATCCTGCTGTGCTACAAGTGTCTACCACAGGGCATTATCTCTGGCAGGGAATTATGCTAGGAGTATTAATTAACACTAATTTAATTAACAGTAATGGGAGAGAAAGGCCAGGGCAGTACAGGCACACCTTTCCACACTGCCTTTCAGGAGAGGCAGTTCCTTCCTAAATAGCTGCACCTGCAGCATCAGTTCAGTGGGGATGCTGTGGGCCCTGCCTAGAGGTGGGTAAACTGAGGCAGGGAGGGTTACTTGGCAGGCCACACCTTGGGAAGGTTAGAGGAGCCATGCAGAATGACCGAGATCCAAACAGGAACCCAGGAAGCAGCAGAGAGAGAAGCTGCAGATCCCTGAGCTGCAGCAGCTCGGTCTCTATGAGGAAGGGCAGAACTGGGTGCCAGGCGCTCAGCTGCTGCTCTGGGGCAGACAAGAACTTTACCTTCCCCTCCTCAGTTCCTCCAGGTGCCAGTGGTGTTGGAGTCATTGGTGTCCCTCTGCTGTCACTCCATGGGCCAGAACACTTCCTTTCAGTGGCCGCGGATTTACACCAACTGATGCAGACAGCTCTGTTGGTTTTCCTACCCCTGCTCAAAAGAATGTGGAATAGTTTGTTTTCTCCATTTTTTACTGAAAAGAGCCTTTTATCAGAACAAGAGCTCGCCTGGAGAATTTTCCAGCTCTGTTTCCCTGCCTCTTTATCAGTGCATTAACACAAACAGCACCGTGACCTTTTTAACCAACAGACGTGGCCTCCAGTAATGCTGGGCTGGAAGCACTCCACAGGTCAGACGACATCCTGCCATCAGTCATCGGCCTCACGTGGTCTGGTGGACTTCGAGTGGATTTGACAGATGCAGTCAGTGCATCCACTCTGTTCTTCCATGCATGTCCTAGGAGAAGCTCTCTGACTAACAGATGTTTTTAAATGCTCTTTCACATGGGAAAATTGGGAATTACATGTTTTTGTTGTACCCTTGCTATTTCATCCAGCGATGTGGCTCTCCAGGGATGGAGACGTACTTAAGGAAAATATTCACTTCTAAAAGCTTCTACAGATCTTTTTCACAGTACTTCCTTGGCTTAACCAGCCCAGCAACACACACTTGTGTTTCTGTTTTGTGGCAATTAGTAAGATTTGCTAATTACACTGCTATGTGCTTAAAGACAATTGATTTCCCTTTGTAGCAGAAAACAATTTCCTGTTATGCCAATTCTCTTAATCTTCATCAGAAACAAACCCAGGCTGCCATTGCCAGTAATGTGTCACGTTCCTTTATTAAATCACTCTTTTTCTGCCCCAGTTATGTGTCCTGTGTTTATTATTCCTGGTCAGTGGATTGGATCACCTACAGCTGTTATGACTTGTACGTATTTTGCTTCATGTATTGCTGGCACCAGGCAGAGTTACTGAAAAGCAACTCCCTTTGCTCAGCAGCTTGCGTGTCTCCTTTGGCAGTGGGACGCGGGTGTAGGGACAACCCCGGACCTTTTACGCTTGGTTTTGGCACGTGTAAAAAACTACTGGCAGATGAGGAAGGTCAGAGCCTTGTATGTGAGTGTGGGCCACCCCCTTGCAGCCAGCCCAGAGAGCAAGCACAAAGCACACATTTCTGCTCACGTAAATGCACAGGTTTTGTTTAGAGTTATAGTGAAGAAGACCAGGCTCCTCAAATAAAAGAATTTCTCATGCCCGGGCTGAGCACCACTAGTGCAAGCAGTCTGTGAATATGCAACTCACTGTACTTAAGCCTGCCCCATTTACACATTCCTTTGCTTAGTGAGAAATGCAGCAGCTCAGAAGAGAGAGCAAATTGGTGTGGCCCAGGCAGATGAGCATGCAAGGAAATGTCCTGGATAACTTTGTATGGAAGATGGTGCTGGATAGCAACAGGGCTTCAAACCAGACCTGAAGTTTTCCAACCCAAGGCTTACCTGAGTGAGAGAAGTGCCACGAGTCACAAAGGTGGTGTGTGACTCGGGGCCTCCTGGGACAGACAGGGTTAGTGCACTGAAGACTGCTTTGTGATACCGGAAAGCCACATTATTCAGGAAAGGCAAAAAAATTCCCACCTTTCCTCCACATGTCAGGCAAGATCTCTTTTATCATCTGGACTGCAGATGAGAGCTCTGATCCTCTCCCCTCCTGCACAGAGATAATGCTTCAGCTCAGTTCTCCTGCTGCTAGGGCTGGGAGATGCTTAAAACTCCCTCTGATTGACTGTGATCAGCTTCATCCTTCTTCTTTGAGACATGAACCCCATTTCCATGAAAAAAACCCTGGTGTAGTTGCTGGTGTAGTTCCAGCAACATTTTTTTAAGGTCAAAAGCAGACTGATAGTATGTATATTCACCACTCAGGTTCTGTGGTCATAGACCTGGTTTAACACTGAACACTTGTTCAGCTCAGTCCTTTGATACAAAATCAGCTCAGATCATTGAAGGAGAGGACTGATGAAACATGGAAGCAGAAAAAGCATCCAGCAAAGCCAGCATATGTACTCTTCCAAGTGGGTAAATAAACATGACTAAAACCAATCCCATTGTAAACTGTATCCCATCTGTAATCCCATCTGTAAACTGTATTAAGTATTGCAAAACTACAAAAAAAAAAAAGAAAAAACACCAAAACCCAAAACCAAAATGCCAACACACCAACCAGCCCAAATTCTTCACTTATAGCAAGCTTTAGAAAAATCTCCCATACTGCAAACCTCCCTGGGAAGGAACCAGCAGTGCACTAGTTAACATTCTTTCTAGTGCATGTTGGTTGTGAAAGGTTTAGAGAATAGGAAAAGCTTTCTGTGAGGCTTTACACAGAAGGAGAGACAAAGAGGAGAGACTGTACGACCTGCCTTATCTGTGGAAATTCTCCCTCCAAAAGAAACAAGCAGGCTTTACAAAGTCAGATCAGAAAATGCCATTATTAACCTGATTTCAGTTCTGGGGCATTACTTTAGTCTGGTAAGAGAGCACACAGTTTTTATTTTGCACCAAATCCCATGTTTGGGTTCTGATAAAGGTCATGGAAATATAAACGCTTGTCCAGCAATGCCCCTGTACAGGGTTTTTTCCAAAGAACAAGCTGGATAGAGATTTGTCTTAGCTAGTGACCTAACTTGTAATAGTATCCTTTAATGTGACTGGAAAAGCCCTCTTGCCTTGCTGCAAAGCACCACGGCTGTGTCCATGTCACCTCAGTTCTCACCCACACCAAATAATACATTTTTCTACACAGTGGTGTCTTCCAGCACATTTCAGTGCCCCCATCATCCCAGCATCTGAGATCCTTTCTCATGAAATCAGTGGCATAGGAAAACTACTTGGTGACCGTTCAGGACTTTGCCAGTTTTTATTTTTCCAGAATCAATGTTTGGGGGCTGGATTTTTTTTTTTAAGTTTAGTGACAACAATGAACAATGAACAATTTTGGGTGGAAAGTGTGGCAGTAATTCTTTAAATCTGACGTTACTTAAAATAGAAATTCAGTATAGATTGGATCAGTGCAACAACCAATCCTCTATCCCTTAGATGGACAGGATGCTGAAAATGCCCCTTCTGTGTCATGGATTTGTTTCTTGGAGCAGCTTGTCCTGGGTCTATCCCACTGGGTTTAGCAAACCCCCTCCATCATCTTTGGATCTCACTTCAAGGAATAAGGACAGTGGCACCATGTCATTTTTAACGTGTGTGAATGCAGTGCAGTTTGACTGATCACCTGCCAGCACCCTTCCTTGTCACTTCTCAAGTGTCCCCTGCCCAGATTTAAAACTCCAGCACTATTTACCACTGAGCTCTCCAAGGGGGCACAATCTATATACACCACCTTCAGCACAAAGATGCCTGTCTACCGTAGCACAAATAACAACTGCCAAATAAATAACACTTCTGTGCTGAGTTATTTTACAAAGGCTTGGTAACAGGCTGCAGCCTGTGTATCATTATCAGACCCATCTAGGCACAGACCGAACCTGTGAGTCACAATTACTGGAAGACAAACGGTAATTGTGCTTCAGAGCAGCTCACCCTTGTAAGAAATGTCAGCGGCTGCCAGCACACAGCAAAGCTCCGCAGCTGGCACCTCTGCCATCCTTCAAACATACACTTAGCAGGGGATTAGGCTCTGTCACACTGTCTGCATCATCTCTCTCACTCACTCTTTCACCACCTTTTTTGTATCCTCTAGACCACACTGAATTACAACTTACTGTAAACACACTGGCGGGACTTCTGACCTTACGCTTTTTGTGAGTCGGCTGTTCACTACCTTTCCTTTTTTAGCCTGTAGAAATCCATTCCCTATTTTGATTTTTGCCTGAATCACCAAGTGACATCTACAATTCACTTCCTCAGGCAAGAGCAAATACCCTCAAGTGCTAACAGCAATAAACACTGTGGGCTGCTGCCCGGCCCTGCAGTGACTGCAGCTTTTGTTTAAAGGCACCACAGGGTTGCTGGCCTTACAACATCTTTCTTCATCCTTGTAAATTTACAAAGTTTTTATTTACATCAAACGTGTCACCTTTCCCCCAAACAAAAACTCTGTAAAAATGGTTCCACAGGGTGTGTTAAACCTTTTACATACATTAAAAAAAAAAAGAAGAAAAAAAGAAAAAAAAAAAAGAAAAAAAGAGAAAAAAGCAGGATTGGGCTGTGCCACAGATTTTACTTCAAAGGATCTCTTTCACAGTCCTTTTAGGGCTTCTGAACAGGAGTTTTATGAATTTATAACAACATATATGTCAGGCAGACACTGGAATTCAAATTATTTTAACTCCAACTAAAGGCCTGTGTTCAAATGTCTGAATGGATTCCTTTGTGGCTCAGATTTTTGGAGTCTTAAAACTGCAAAGACCATATCTTAATTGTAAATATTCCATTTCTTAGTCATTCTGCTGTCAAAGGACTGCTGGAGAGAAAATCTGCACAAGTGTGGTCCAGGAGGAAGCAGGAATCAGAAGAGTTTTGTTGCAGAGGTGGGGATGTGTAGAGCCAAACATACTTGCTAAGCCTGGCATCTCTGTTATGCATCTGGATATTTGGTACCAAAAATGCAAAAACCCCAAATGAATATTGGCATTGCTTAGCAAGTGCCCACGTGGCAATGTGAACTGTCTTGGGCCTGGTTGCTGAGGATCTATGAGACTTATTTACTGTTATGTGGGATATTTTTCTTGGTTTCCTTTCAATTCAGCACAGAGTCTGGGTGCCTGCTGGGCTGGAAGGTTACTGCAGAGCTCTGTATTTGCCCCGCTGGTTGTTACTGCTGATTTCTTAACTGTCAGAATGGCTCACAAATGGCTGGCTTATTGGGCTAGTCAGTTGGATGACTGTTAAAGAAAAAAACATTATTTCACAATGAACCCTGCAATTGTTTCCTTGGAAACTCTTTTTCAAGCATTTGCTGAAGACAATAAGTATTTCCATGTGGATATATCAGCAATGCAGTGTACAAATAACCTGTCAGGAATCAGGCATGAGAATGGCTTTATGTTTTAGGAATGTCTGATTGATTTTTAGAAACATGATGGCTACTTTCACTTAATGAACCCCTCAGAAAAAAAAAAAAAAAAAAAAAAAAAAGAATCTCAATTCAAGTTTCACTATCTAGGCACTACAACAGCCTTCCCCACTGCTGCATTTCTAGCAGGTGACTGATCCCTCTCTTGAGT